CACAGAATTTTCTAGAAGGATATCCTAAGAATTGTTTATGGTAGCTATCTGCAGGAAATAGGATTGGAAATGTGGGAACAGTAGACATATTTTGTTTCATATTATTTTCGATATAATGTATTTTTACTCACTTTATTTTCTATTTTTAAACAAAGTCCCCAATGCCTGCATCTTCATAGTGAGACTAATATACAAACACTGGAAAAATTTCACTAGCACACACAAGGTACTTGCTTGGCTTCTCTAAGGACCTGTGATTTTACTAATAGCAAAATAATTGGCCTCCTGGATAGCAGAAATTTTTGTAACTACACACTAACAATAATTTTGCTTGTGTGATTACTTTTAGAAAGGTAATTCTCTACTGAAGAGAGGGCTTTTAAATCCAGTTTCCCAAGGAAGTAAATCCAAGCCTTAAAACATAGGTCTAAAAACTTTTGCAAAACCAAACTGAAATTGTCAAGTCATAAATACAAGAGACACATAAAAAACACTGTATACTAATATTATTTCTTTCTTACAGAGCTCTTCCTAAAAATATCATCTTCTCAAGGGACCAATGCTACTGAAACATTTCTATTAAGATCTAGGTTTCCCAGTGCTCACAGCATTGAATCCTGTACTGCATGGGCAGAGACATTTCTATACAGACTCTTCACCAGGAGCATAGCAAGTAGTGTGTGGCTGGGGCATGCAGAGACATATGTTGTAAATGACATTTTTTGTCAACATGACCAAGGACTGCATGTATGCAGGAGTCCCATGGGATCATTCCCATCACCCAGTGACGTCAGAGCTGCCTTAACCATAGCACAACATATTACTCACATCTTTGTGTTGATGCTGGTTAAACAAACCTAGTGAGCTGCCAGTCATTTAAACTATTGCACATATACTTAGGCACAATATATAACACTTGATGATAATAAAGAATTATGTATTGGCTTATGTGTTTTTTATACTTTGTGTGTGTTGTTGTTTTGTGTATGTGTATATATATTTATTCCTGGGAATTGAACCCAGGGCCTCCCACACGCTAGGCAAGCACTCTACCACTAAGCTATATCCCCAGCCCTTTATTTATTTTAATTTTATTTTACTTTGAGATAGAGTGTTGCTAAATTGCCCAGGCTGGCCTTGAACTTGTGATCCTCTGCCTCGATCTCCTGAGGATTAAAAATATAATCCCCTGGGATTACAGATATGCACCACCATAGTGGGCTGTATCTACTACACTTTTTATCATTATTTGAATCAGCTTTTACTTATCATTTAAAAAAATGGTTAACTATGAAACAGTCTCAGGCAGGTCCTTCAGGAAGGACTCCAAAAAGCGGCACTGTTATCATAGAAGAGCACAGCTCCACGAGTGTGTTTAAACTTTTGTGTTAAAAGTTTAAAAAGTAAAAGATAAAAATTAATATTGTAGGATAATGATATAAAGAAAATAATTTTGCTCAGCTACACAACGTTTGTCTTTTTATTACAAAAGTGAAAAAGCTTAAAATTAAAAAATTTACAAAGTTACAGTAAGCTAAGATTAAATTATTACTGAAGAACAATATTTCTTATAAATTTAGCATTGCCTAAGTGTATAGTGTTCGAAAAGTCCACAGTAGTGTACAGTGATGTCCTCGGCCTTCACCCCCTCACCACACACGGAATCACCCAAGCAACTCCCAGTTCTGCATGTTCCATGTTCGGTAAGCGCCCCACACAGGTAGACCCTTTTTATCTTTTACAGGTATCTTTTTTGGGGTACAGGGTACCGTGGACTGAACTCAGGGACACTCAAGCCACATCCCCAGTCCTATTTTATATTTTATTTAGAGTCAGGGTCTCACTGAGTTGCTTAGCGCCTCGCTGTTGCTGAGGCTGGCTTTGAACTCCAGATCCTCCTGCTTCAGCCTCCCAAACTGCTGGGATTACAGGCCTGCACCTGGCCTCTTTTATAGGTATCTTTACTGTATCTTTTCCATGTTTAGATATGTTTAAATATACAAATACCCCTGTGTTACAACTGCCTCCAGAGTTCAGTGTAGAACACCTTCTACAGCTCTACAGTCCCGGAACAATAGGATACGGCCTTGGTGTGGAGAGGCTCTATCACCTAGGTTTGCACACTCCACAATGCTCACACAATGACAAAATCACCTAACAAAGCACTTCTCAGAGCACATGCCCCACAACAAATCCTATCATTACCTGATACATGACTGCATATATCCATGAAGAGTGACAGAGTTCATCTAGGGACTGTGTGCTTCTAGCTCATGTGACTCCTGAGGGCTAGACTGCTTTATTTGTGATTTCTAGGCGTTAATGTTTCATTTTTGTCTTTCAAAAAATGGTTTCTTGGGCTGGGGATGTGGCTCAAGCGGTAACGTGCTCGCCTGGCATGCGCGGGGCGCTGGGTTTGATCCTCAGCACCACATAAAATAAAATAAAGATGTTGTGTCCACCGAAAACTGAAAAATAAATATTAAAAAAATTCTCTCTCTTTAAAAAAAAATGGTTTCTATAACAATAACTACAAAGAGCAATAAAGCCATGTTCTTCAGGTTGAAGTTAATCTCTCAGAAGTCAGAACAGAAGTACTTGGACTAAAAAAATATTTTTTCTTGGTGGTTCTAGTATTTATTTTAAAATGAAGCAATGTAAAATCACATAAGATATATTTAAAATGTTTACATTTAAGTAATTCTTAAAAAGTGTTTGGCAGGGGCTGGGGATATAGCTCAGTTGGTAGAGTGCCTTGCCTCACATACACAAGGTCCTGGGTTCAATCTTCAGCACTACAAAAAAAAAGGGGGGGGGGGTTGGCAGTTGAACATGTACGCACCCTAGAGATTCAGAAATCCTATTCCCCAGTTAGAAGAGGGCATTAAAAATATTCACAGTGGCACTGTTCACACAAGAAAATCATATCAACCAAAATAACCTGCAAAGAATCCAAAGGCCTATGGGCAAAAGAACAGACATGTGTGCATTGTATGTATTTGAACAAAGGAATGACAGGAACTAGAGCTACAAGAATTTAAGTGGCTAAATCTTAAAAGAAGCAAGTTAAAGAAGAGCACCTTCGGAAGGAATTCCACTTTATAAAGCTCAAATGAAGACAGATTTTTGCCTATGTATAAACACATAGGTGGTAGAATGGTGGAGAAAAAGCAAAGGAATGATTAATAGGAATCTTAAGACAGATGACCTTTTCAGGTGGAGAGGGATCATGGTGTATATCTAATTGGGGAAGAAGGTCACGGGGTCAAGTTCAACACCTTACTCTGGGCTTAGGCACTGGGGTGTTTCATGGTCCACCAAAACAAAACATCTTCTGTAGGTAATATTTAACAGTTTAAAGACATTTTTAAACAAAAACTATGGAATAAATTACACTGTAAAACAAACTAAATGTGTACGTGTATATCTGTCTCTAAGCTGTAGAGTGAATAACATCTTCTTACAATCCTACTGCTCTATCTCTGGCTCTACCTGAACTCTTTGAGTCATAATGTTAAAATCTAAATTGTGACCTGCACTCAAAGGCCCTCAGGCCACCACTGCAATAGGTCCCATCTTCCAGGATCATTATCCTTATTGGGTCAAACTCAGGAATGTGAAAGATAGTCAGGAGAAAGCTCTGCCTTTCCCCCCAGGCCACAGGGCAGATTCCCTACCAGCAAAACCAATTCACTCCCCCTAAGCTGGCTCAGAGGAGAGGAGCCACGGAGGAGGGCGAGCAGAAGAGCCAGCCAGCACCGCCAGCGCTTCCCCAGAATGGCCTGTCCACCAGTGGCTGGCCTGATGAGCCCTGCCTGCATCTTTATCAACAAGCTGGCACAGAAGGCAACTTCATAAGCAGCACTCCAGGAGTTTGGGAAGCAATTTTCCTTTTCATTCCAACTGAAACTGTACACATCTAACTCTGTCAACTGCTAAACTTACCAGGCTACAAGACTAGGGGATGCAGTTTCTAAAGGCCTGGAATAGTGATCAACAACATGCTCTCCTTTGTAACATTCTAGACAAACCTTTGATACAGAATTGGGAAAGAAAAAAAAAAAACCTCAGTTAAATGTTTTCAGATATTTCAATGACTAATGAATGAAAGATTACATTTATTATATATTAATTCATTTATTATATATTTATAAAATAATTAATAACGAATGTATATATATACACATTTGTTATTTAATTAATGTGTGTGTGTGAAAAAAAAAATATATATATATATATACACACACACACACATACACACACACAATTTATATACACAAGTCTTCCAAGGCATAGACACACAAGTGGCCACAAGTTGAATACAGATTTCCCATGAGATCAGCAGCTCCTGGGGCAGAATTCACACGAAACAGAACTTTCACCAAGGCAAGAGCCTCATTTCCCACTGTGAGTGTCCCTGGGATGGCCAGAGGTGCCCTGATTCATTACATGTTCCTCAAGGCTGCTTCCTCTCCACACCCACAGCTCGGTACCCACCACACCCTTCTTCCCCTCAGTGGCAAACAGTAGACTACAATGTAGCTCCATCAGTTTTATGGATGCTCACATTTCCAGGGAAGGGGGGGGGATCTTGAAGATGCAGCTTGCAGAAAGACCAGATGTTAAAAATACAAAGTTAGATTCCACCTCGGAGCCTGTAAGACCCAGGATTGCTTTCCAGCCCGCAGGGAAGTGGGAGGAGAATTGGCTCTTTTCCAGCCAGTAGCTGGCACAGTCAAACCCAGATATTTGTCCATCTCTTAAATAACTCATGCTGGATTTACATTTTTAAAAAGACCAAACAACAAAGGAGTTTGGAATCTATTAGGAGTATAGGCAGTTTAAATACCTACAAACCCACAGAGAAATTAGGGAGGGATCTGGGCAAGAACAAGGATAACTAGGAAGAGTACCAAAATAATCTGTATTTCTTTCTAGCATCTCACAGGATATTAATTACCATAAAGCTCTATGGCGGTGAGGGCGGAGAAGAGACTTACCAAATGCCACACAACAAATCAGGAGCAGAGCAGGAGCAGCAGCCAGCTCACCTTCCTGCCCGAGAGGCAGCTGGGTGTGTAGGGCAGAAGGCTAGATATTCTAAATAGCACCTACCAGTGACTCACCCTGGACTTTGGAGATACTGCTCACATTATCTCTGGGTATTCCTGTGTTTGTCTCAGAGAAACCCCACGCCCTGCACTGTGCCCAACACAACTGCCAGCAATAATGCCCTGTATTCATTCAGCACACTGGTGCACAAACAAGGTCTTTGTGCTGCTAGAAGAGGCGATCCACACTCTGGCAGGGAGGTCAACTTCAAGAATGGAGTCCTGCTAATCACACAACTCTGGGGTTTCGAGAGAACGAACCTTCCACCTGGTATTCCTGGTTTACCAACAAAGGGCTCAACTCAACAAACCAGGTTGGGCAGAGCAAATGAAAACATCGGAGAGAGCTGAGGATGCATGAAGGGAGAGTGGGCAGTGAAGTGGCCAGTCAGTGCTGAGGGAGGGCAGAGGCAGCGAGCAGTCAGGAGACCTTTTCCTCTGTTGAGCCTTTCATAGGACAGATGCTCCAGCGCCTCCATGTGCCAGGCACAGCAAGGCATACTCAAGAGGCAAAGGGGCTTGGCCCTCTCTCAGTCTAGTGCTCAGGGAGGGGAAACAATGACAGCCACTGATAAGCCTGAGGACAGGAGTACCAGGGAGGGGCTATTGAAAGGGACAGGAGGTGGTTGGCTTCTTTCTAAAGAAGAAAATAGTCTTGTCTATCAAAAGCAGCTCCAGGTAAACTGAGTTCTAAATCAAACAGGGGACAGGCAAGGATTTGGAGGTAGGGTTCAAGGCAAAGTTGCTAAGAAAGGAACTGGGAAAGCAGGCAGAGACTGGACCTTGAACATGCCACTTAAATGACACTGAGGTGTTGGGATTTCATCCAGTAAACCTCCTGGCAGCCTGGAGTCTTGGAGGTTTAGATGGAAAATGTATGTCGGTGCAGCCAACTAGAACTGCACAGCAACCCTGAGAGGAGCATCTGAGGCATAAGAAAAGGTGGTGGAATCGGATGGACCTGGCACCAGCTGAATGTGGGGCAAAGAGGGGGAGTGAGGAAAACCTCCCACTTCTGTGGTCTTCCTTCAGGAGGCTGTGAGATCATTCACAAAATAGGCAAGAGGATTTGGGGTTAGAAGAAGAAACTTGAGGTTCTCCTGAGACATTTAAGCACAGATGTCCTGACAAGTGCTCTAAGACAGAAAGAGCCTGGGAGCCATCAGTAGCAGTGCTAGGGGACACCTTACTCATCGAGGACAAGCATAGATTTTAGGATCAGCCAGACCTAATCAAATTTCAACTCTGTCTCTTGGTAGCTGCATGATCCTGGAGGCAAGTAAATTAACCTTCTAAAGACTCAGATTCCACCTACAGAAATTCCTCTTGGGATTTAACGAGATCAGAAAAGGACCTAATGTCACTACAGTCAGAAGATATTTAATATTTTCCTCTTGCCCTTTTGTGATCATATATACTACCTTGTATTATAATTTTAGTTCTTAAACTGTGCAGATTACAAGCCATTTTGCTGTCACTCATCTTTAAATCCTGTTTCACCTTTCTTGTATGCACAGATTCTCAAATATTTGAATTGCCACAAGTCATATGAAAAACTCAGGCCAGAGTGGTCCAGGGGACCAGGAATATCTTGCCCTTGACATTAAACAGCTAATGCAAAGATCTCAAAATTGCTATGTGGCTTCAGTGGTATTGATTTAACTCTGTGTTGAGGGTTGAGAAGGGGGGAAAAAGAGCAATGGGGGTTGGAAAAGAGAATTTTGTCAGTCTAATAAAGCCTAGTCAAAGCCACAGAAGTTTACTCTGTGTAAAAGCATGCTGTAATATTTAAGAGGAAGTGTCTACTGAAGTTAATATTGTATAGCCTCTGTCCTCTGGCTCATTTCAAGAACGGTTCTAAAAGAATGTTAAATAATAAATCTAGCAAACAGATTTTGCCTTAAACCAAATGTTAAGTCTACAGTACACTTAAAGAAATTTTTTTGGTAGTTACCTTTATTTTATTTGCTTATTTTTGTATGTGGTGCTAAGGATCGAACCCAGTGCCTCACACATGCTAGGCAAGCACTCTGCCACTGAGCCACAACTCCAGCCCCCAACTGTACCCTTTATATATAAGAAATACATGCTTTATTGGGGTGGGGTGGGGCTAAGCTATTTGCTTATTTATAACTCTTAAAATGAACATTTTAAAACTATAGATGGTCTCTGACTTATGGTTTGACTTCAGAGTTTTTTTGACTTTATGATGAAAACAGTGTGCTCAGTAGAAACTATTTTCAGACCTGGATCTTTTGTTGGGCTAAGGACATGTGGCACAACACTCTTGTGATGGTGGGCAGCACAGCAAACTATAGTTCCCATCAGCCACTCTGTCACGAGGGAAACCACCTGTACTCTACAGTGAGCTGTATCAAGCTGATACCTGGTAGTTAGGTGTATTAAAGGCATTTTCAATGTAGGACACTTTCAACTTAGGATGGGTTTACTAGGATGAAAACCCCTCAAAAAGTCACAGAGATCTATATATTAAAATTTAAAAGCCAATCTATTAATGTCCTACATAATTCAATTTTGTTTTCAAATTTGGACTCCAACTTGTCCTACCTACTTTATGGATGTTTTACTAATCTGAACATGTCTTGGAGACTGGAAATTATATTTTATCTCCAACTTACTTGCTAAAACACATGAACAATTACCTCTTCCTTCTTGATCCTTCCATGGTAGCTTCATAAATTCACATTCTTTCACCTACTTTTAATTTTATATCTTGGTTATAAATCTAAAAAAAAAAATCCATCCAAGTTTCTAATACGAAACTATTGACACTTGCTCCAAGGTCCCTAATCATTTGGCTCATGTAACTAATTTGGATTAAATGTGGAGAATAATTCAATTTGCAGCTTTTGGTCTTTGGGACTTCTCTTACTCCTGGCCACCCTCTTCCTGGCCACATGTAATGGGGCTCAAACATGACTAATGTGAGGGCACTTTAGTCCCTAAGCATCAAGGAAAAACATGCACCATTCACCTCACACGTGTGGTCCTAACTTGAGGTCCCTGCTGTTCCCAGATTGTTCTGGACTCTGGATAGTTCCCCTTAAACTCACAATATACCTGTCCACCTCTTTCAACCAACCCCTAAGATTTTGACTGCCCCATGCTATGGTGGAATTCTTCCCTACTTTCAAAAGACCTAAACTTCCTAGATTTGAATAACAAATGTTTTTGTGTCCACAAAATCCTTGTCTCTTCGCTGCCATTAAAGGACAAAATTAAGGCAGATAAATGATCAGATTAGATGGCATCTGTCACTAAGCCAGCACATTCCCATAAGACCAGGCATCTGGTCTGCATTAGTTATTCCTTGGATACCAAGGTGATGCATGCAGCCTGAATGACGGACTACTGAGTTATAATTCTTTCAACTTAGACATTACTTTGAAATAAACACACACACACACACACACACACACACACACACACAGGTGATAAACCATGACTCACATTAAAGATGTTTAAAATGAAGAGCATGTCATTACTAAAATGCCTCACCCAAAATAGCCCAATGGCTTCTAATAAAGGATTGGGTCACACCTGGGAAACAGTTCAGCATAATTCAGAGCACAATATTCTCACTATCATATTATACTCCAGGATGTTCTCTCTTTCTTCAGAATCCAGTTTAGGTCTTACTTTCTTCAGAACTGAGACTAGGATCTGTGACCTCTGTGACCCTAAAGCATTTTCCTTGCAAATTCTACCAAGTCATTATCTACCCCCCTCCCCCATCTCCCTTTGAACATTTAAAATATTTTAAATTCTTTCTTCTCTTTCTCACAGGTAATTCACTTAATTTTATTAGCCAGAGGTCCTTAAATGGGTCTCAGGTCTTGTGTAAGTAGACAGGGATAGGTACCTGTCTGCCTTCTCCATCAGCATCAGCTGAGCCAGGGAAACTATCAGAAAGTGAAAGATTTCCCCAGCACACTGGTGCAAGCTTTGGGAGGACAATGTGTTTCTATCTATCCATTAAAGACCCAATAATTATGCTTTTAGAAATTTATGCATCTATGGGGGACTTGAACTATATATAGCTCAGTGATAGAGCACTTGCCTAGCATGTGCAAGACCCTGGGTTCAATGCCAGGCACTGCATTAAAAAAACAAAAAAAAATGTATCCTATGTGGCTATAGGAAAAAGATATAGAAAGACTTTAAATACAGTATTATAAAGAAAAACAAACATGCGGGTAAAAAAATCCCCGAGGGAACTTAAACTATACATATATCAAGAGAGGACTGGTTAAACAAACAATAGATATATACATTATAAAAAGCTGGAAAGAACAACTTTATATTTCACTTAAAATCCTTAATACTACAGAATTTTCCCCCATGAACTAACATTTTTTAGAAACATTTAGAAAAAAGTGAATATTCATAATTTAGATTGATGCAGATTATCTATTTTTTTATCTTTATTTTTATTTATTTATTTTTATGTGGTGCTGAGGATCAAACCCAGGGCCTCACACATGCTAGGCCAGTTGTCTTCTGCTGAGCCACAACCCTAGCCCCCAGATTATCTATTAAAATACTTCATTTAACAATGTTATTTAATCTTAAACAAGAAATAGTAAAAAATAGGCACAATAAACTCTAGAGCAGATACACATTAAAATACACTCATTTCAGCAGTTAATGATTTAATCATTAAACTCAGACTCTCAGAAAATCAGAGTTTTCTCTAAGGCCCTGGATCTACAGCTATGAACTCTTTTATAATCCAGGGGCTCTATTTAGCCATCTCCCTTGTGCAGAATGTGTGTCTAGACTTAAAGATGGTTTTTCTCATGAGATCAGGGTGGAGTGAGTTTTTAAAGTTTCACCTTAAAACTTAGGATTAAAAAAAAAAAAACCAAAAAAACCTACAAAGCCATTGAGATTATAAACAAAACAAAAATATGGGTGCCTAGGCCCTGTGTAGGAGTTATTGAATCTTTGGATCCAACCTATGGATTCAAGGAAACAATATCACACAGCATCAACTTACAAAGGTGTTCACTACTATGCCAAGATTTAAAAAAAAAAAATTTTTTTTTTTTTTTTTTGATCACTGATGTGGGGTTTGGATAAGCAAACCCACCAGTTCTCCCTTCACTATATTCTTTTGGCTCCATGAGGAAGCAAGAGGCAGGATGTGGGACAGCCATCTTTGGGGCTGAAAGGGAGCTTAAACAGTGGAGGCGTTTCTCAAGTTGTAGATTCCTCACCTTCCAGCCTAGATCAACAGTGCAGGACATGGGAATCTGTGTTTGACAGCCTCCCTTCTCCACCTCTACCCTGTTCTTACACCCAAGTGAAATGTGAAACTGGTAGTATTTCCTGAACATCCAATTCTAAGATCACCACAGGTGCCTACCATCCTCATCCCACTCCAGACCTAGGGAATAAGAATCTCTAATAAAAAATTTTGTCTCTCAAACCAGGGCCTCTGGTTATACTTAAAAATGGGGGAGTCTGGGAAACACCAGTTCAAGTCAAACTTCTCTTTTTAAGATAAGGAAATCTAGGCCTAAAAAGTTAGGTAATTCCCCCAAGGATTTACATCTGATTAACCATAGCTGGAAGACCTGAAAGATTGCGGTGAGCTAATTCTTTCCTCTTAGACCAATACTGCTGGCGTTACGTTTAATCATGAAAGCCAGAGCATCTGTCAAGTTTCTGATTCACCACGATGAGGTCATAAGTAAGTGACTAACCAAGTCTGAGACCAAGGTACATGTCAGAACGTGCCACTGGTTTAAAGGATAATTGACATAGTGAAGCTGTCCAACAGCAACGTTTCCTTCCAAGTTCTTTCACTTTCAGTGTCAGTATGAGGAGAAATACAGAAATGCACAGAAAAGTAATCCCAGCCCCACACAAATATAGCCTGTGAAGCAGAAACACAGGATGACTCCAAATTCTTATCATTTTGCTGGTCAAATACCTTCAGCAAAAGAACTCTAATAACCTCACAGTTCAATACCAGCAATAACCTGTACCTTGCAGTGGGGAGACAGACAACAGCAGCTCCAATAGAGACTCTACACCAGGATGGGAAGCACCCCCTGCAGCCTGGAAAGCACACGGAGAGCTTTGACTCAGGAAGAGCTCAATCCAGTTATAATTGCTTCTAATTGGCCCTCCCACACGGTCTCACAATTTACAGCTGTAATCAGTTTCACAAAGGATGTGCTATACTTCTTTTCTAACTTTAAAATCAGAATTCTCTCTTCTTAGGTTCTTAACATTACTGTTTTGATTTTTAAAATATACCAAGATATAAAAAAAGGATGAATGAATGAATGAATGAATGAATGAATAAAAGCAAAGGTGCTTTTTTTTTTTTTTAAGAAATAAGCATTGCTCCCTGTGACCTTAATGATAACCCAATGGGATTCAAATTTGCAATGGAGACCGATGCCAATTGGGGAAACCTTTCCGTTCTATGGCACGTAGTCCAAAAAACACACGCTCTGATCAGACATTTTCCACACTCTTGATTTTTATCTTTCCTGGCATGCTCGACTCTCCTTTAATAAAGTCACAACCCTTTGTTGCCATGGAACCCAATCAGACATGAAGCCTGTTACTATGACTTCCCTGCAGGTCTAAAAAAAGACCAAGTGACCAAAAGATCAGCTTTTTCTTAAAAACGAACAAAAAAATAAACAAACTAAGGCAAAGATGATCCAACATCTTCATATATGCACTGACATTTAAGTTTTTATGCAGGCTGATCTGAACTCTTGAGCCAAAGGCAGCTAATGTTTTCTAAAAATTTTTCCTCTGGGACTTTACAAAGAAGACAAATTGTTAAGTATCTGACAAAGAGGGTAAAAACGATCTTGGAATTTCTTCCTTTTTTTTTCCCTTCTTCTAGGCAAGCTTTCTGAAATTTAAGTAGCTGTTTAGCAAACATGTGTCAATCAGCAGCTACCAAATTGTAATATTCATTTCTACCAGTACTTAATTTTTGCCAAGAGCTCATTATTTCCCTGTAAAGAAAAGATATTCTAAACAATACAATCAATCCTGTGTTCTGCCATATCTAGAACTGGACTAAATCTATAGAGAAAAATATCCAAGACTAATAACAGAGCTATTTAAGGAAAGAGAATTAATATTTGTTGAGTGCCTACCATGACCCAGGCATTTCTAAGTCACAATCATAACCCTGCAACACAGGCATTTCCATCTCTGACCAATAAGGGACCAAGGCTCACAGAACTGTAAGTAGCTTGCTCGGGCTTCCGTGTGTGCTACGATGGTGTCTGGCTCCAAAGGCAGACCGATTCATTCATTGCCAGCATTTATTTCTGGTCTCACAGGTGCTATGCATTTTGTTAGGCTTCTTGTTCTTTATGAGAGAATTCACAGGCTTGTAAACCTGTCTGTAAAGAGGGCACACAGTCCGTTTTCACTGGCACAAGGGCTAGTTCTAGCTATACTCATCTTAACAATTACCACACTTACAAAACAGCAGCAGCTACCCCTTGGGAGAATCATGAGAAATGCCCCCTCCATTTGACTGCGACCCTGTTGCACCCTTCCGGAGGGTGGCCACTGCCTAAAGCCTTCCAGTCCTGGACCATGTGGTAGGGAGAAAAGGAAGCTCTATGTGCTTGCTCTTGTCTGATAGCAACATTTAGTACAAGAGTTGAGCTATGCAGACTCTTGAAGTTATTCCGACCCGGTTCTGTACAAACTGCTTTAAGAAATGACTAGTAAGAAGTAGTGTGGCAAAGCATGGAATTTTGAAGTTACATTATTAATTACACCAGTCTCTCAGTTGATATTTTACCTAGTTACCATATAATGAATGCAGCAAAAAGAAATTTTCAAAAACAACACAAAACTGCAATACAATACCACTTCACACCCACTGGGATGGTCATAATAATAATAATAAAAAAAAGATAGTAAGTCCTGGTGAGGAAGTGGAGAAACTGGAACACTCATATACTCCTGGTGAGAATGTAAATTGATACAATCACTTTGGAAAACATCAGCAATTCCTTAAAAGGGTGAACAGAATTAGTATATGACCCAGCAATTCCATTCCTAGTTATATACTCAAGATAGACATACCCGCACAAAAATCTGTATCCAATGTTCACTGTAGCATTGTTAATAGCCCAAGAGTAGAAGCAGTTCCAATGTCCATCAACTGATAAAATATGGTACTATATCCATACGATACATATTATTCAGCCATAAAAACAAAGTACTGATTCATTCTACAACATGGATTAACCTGGAAAACATACTAACTGAAAGACCACATAATGTGACTCCTTTTATGGAAAAATGTACAGAATAGGCAACTCCATAGAGACACAAGTAGATTGATGGTTGCCTAGGCGTGGGGTTTTGAGGTTGGGGAATGGAGCATAATTACTAATGGGTATCTTTTTGAGGTGATGAAAATTTTCTAAAAAATTGCTTGTGGCAGTGATTATACAACTTTGTGAATATATTAAAAACACACCACGATGTACTTTAAATAAGCAAAGTGTATGGTATATAAATTACATTTCAATAACAAAATTTTTTAAAGGAAAACATAACAAAAACCAAACAACCTAAATGCCAAGACCAGCCAACCCTGGACATGTGACTTTGTAGCCTCTGGGGGGGGTCTCCATTCCTTTGCTAAGCAAA